AAGAAGCAATTCACTCTCTTCAATTCCCTCGCCGAAGGTAAAATCGGCACCCTCGGGATATTCTGCAATTTCTACTCCCTCAGGAATATCAAATTCTTCCATTACCGAAGCAATAGAGAACTTGATGCGGCGAATAGAGATGATTGTTTTCCTCTCTTCATGAGTAAGAACATTATCAGAGCCTGAGGTGGATGTCTCGGCTGGAAGGGGGGAAGTACCTAATTGATTCAACGAAAGACGATCTGTAGAAACCCTAGGAGGGGGAGCCCTAATGCGAACGGGGGAAGATGAAGGTGTGGATTCAAAATCCCCAATGTCTATACGTTCAAGAGTAGATGAAGTACTCATAATGAAAGATTGAAGAGAAAGATGCGGAAAAAAATTAACCTGACAAGGTGATGGAATGAAGAACGCAGGAGTGCAGCGAGGGCGAATGTAACTCTTGCAGAATCTTATATGACGGAGTAATAATGAAAGACCTCGAACTGTTTCTGAAGCAAAGTAAAAAACCGGTTTCAATTCCCTCTTTAATGGGAGCCGTCACGCAATTAAAAATGAAATTTAGGGCAAAGTGTGGAGGGAAAAAAACTCCCTCCAATAAAAAGCACACACGTCATCACTACACATATCTACACTCCAAGGACATATAAGGCCCATCATGCTCAAGCCCAAATTGAGGGTATTTTTAGCCCAAGACCATTGTTATTTGTCCTCCAGCCTCCATCAAGGCCGAATCAAGAGGTCATCGGCCCAATTGGTTAATATTTAACATCTGGTCTGTTACTTAAGCCCAGCCAGATCAAAGTATGTTCAGCCCAGTTATTCAAGAATGCACAAGTCCTATCAGTTGAAGGATTTACCGTAGAAGGAAAATTCTGAGATAGGAAGTTCTGTACAAGGCAAGTTCTATGTATGGAAAATTAGACAACGGAAAGAACTCTATTAGTAAAGAATGTTTATATAGAAAGAATTGGAGGGCAAGCAACGCGAGTCCTACCATAATTTTATAATCTTTTGTATATAAATAGAGGCTTAGACCTCCAATAAAGGGATCAAGCAATTCTACGCTTCGAGATATATTGTTCTTGTTTATCTTTACTATTGATTGAGTGCGTTGTTTCATTTTTCTGAATCATTATTGGTTGAGCAAAATTTTGCACCTACAGTTTACATTGGAAATGCTATTGAAAAAAAATGGTAGTTGAAAATGGTTGTTGTGTCAAAAAACAGCATTTTAGATGAAATGCATCATTGGAGCAGAATTGTTAAAATATAGTATTTTAACATTGTAGTTCCTGTTAAAATATAGCTTTGGTATGTAAAAATAGCATTTTGCATTGGAGATGCTCTAAGGAGTTTAGTGGGTGAAAATCACCTCCAGTGAAATAGTGTGCCATTTACTCCATTTTGAAATGAGTGGACCAGAAATGACAACGTCACCCATGTTTGGGATGCATAGTAGGAAAATATTGGGATACATAGTAGGAAAATGTTGGGCTGTTCCTTACGAAAATGTTGGGATACACTTTTACTTACAAAAATGGAGGAAATGGATTACTGTGCAACTGGAGGTGATCCTTGTCCGGAATTTAGTTGCTCATGAGAATTTTATATGCCAAAAATGTAGTACACTTGATAAAGCCTAACATAGTACACGGGATAATGTATAATTAACTCTATTTATTTATAAGAGTTAATTACAATGACACCCCCTTAGGTTTACTATAATGTCAGCCAAATACAAGTTAAGCCTTTTTTGAACAAAGACACCCTCTATCAGGAATTCAATCCAAACAGCCCCTAAAATGCTATAAAAAGTCAAGATTGCCCTTTAATATTTTATTGTCTTTAATGGTAAAAAATCAAAATTCTTAAAAGACTAAATGGCCCTTTAGTGTGAGAATGAATGGCCATATTGGCACCACCACCCACCATTGCCGCCGCCGTCACCATTGCCGCTACCATTGCCGCCCATTTAGTTTTCTTCCTCACTCCTATCTACCCAAAACCACCGAACTTACCTTCCCAAAAAAATAAAAAATAAAATCCACCGAACCACTCACCATCACCATCGCCACCTTTCTTTTCTCTCTCTCTCTCCACTTCTTTCCACTTCCACATTAAACGCTTCTTTTTCTGGACCAAACACGCCTCCAAAAATCCCCAATCCAAAAACTTTCAAAACCTCAACCCAATTTAAGAATTTTAGCCTCATATACCACCAGTGGTAGCAAAAAAGTTGGCAGTTGAGATACCCACAACCTTTGGCTTGAAGAATTCAATGAAAACACTCAGAGATCGATCGAGATGAGAGAACATTGGTTCATTTGGAACTTCTATAAGTCTCTTTTGGGCTCCGGCGATGGAGACGACCAGGGAGATTATATTAGGCTCCAGCAACGATACAGAGGTGATGCAATTACGATGTCTACAACAACTTGGGTTATATATATGTGTGTATGTGATGTCAACAATTGGGATCTTCATACTATATATATATATATATATATATATAGATGTTGTAGGCATCGCGGGTAGAGAAGAAGGTGAAGGCGTCACCAACGGGGATCTTGTATCGGAGGTGTCCTTGGAGGAGAAATTGTAGCTGGCTGCGACTATGTACGTAACAATTAGCTGTGTAATTTCGTTAAGAGCCTAAAATCTTCTTCTTGCACCCAACAGCCTTTTCCATATTGAGCCATTCTCGCTGAATCCAAACCTAGCAACGTGAAAATCAAAACAATCCAGAGAATCGTTTGTCTTAGTTTGGGCAGTATATTGCAATTGGATATACGTGTATGTGCTTATATATATATATATATATATATAAGAGAAAATAAATAGAGAGAGGAAGAGGTGGTGGTCATGGTGGTAAGAAGTGGTGAGTGTGGGTGTGGGCGGCAGTGGAAAGTGATAGACTTGGTAGTTGCTTGAGAAAAATGAGTGAATAGAGATAGAGGGGAAGAAAGGGAAAAGGGAGGATTAAATTTTTTTTTCATGATGCACTCTCTGAGCCATCCGATGCTGTGGTATGGCTAGTGGGTATTAGGGCTAAATTGGTCCATTATAGTGACTAAAAAGGTTAAATAGGTAATTTTATAATTTAAATAGTTTAATTCAAAAGTCAAAGGGCAATAAGGTCTTTTTAGCTTGTGTCAGAGGTGTCCGGGTGGTCTTATTATTCAAAAAGAGGCTAACTTGTATATGACTGTCATTATGGTAAATCTCGGAGGTGTGAGTGTAATTAATCTTATTTATAAAGATAATCTAGTTTAGAAAAGGGTAGGTTGGTAAATCTATAACGAATGAGGGCATTTTAGTAGTTCTCCATAATTTATACTCCTATATATATACACACATTCGCGGCACTCCGCGTCAATCGTCCTTTTGGATTTTCTGTGTATTTAGTGTGTGAGAGAGAGAGGAGAGAGAGGGGTCTTTCTTTCCGCTGCTGGTTTTGATTGATAGTCTACCTTTCGCCGACTCGACGCAGAAATGCTGAAGTACTAAACCACTCTCTGTTTCAATCAAAAACCCTAATATAGTACACGGGATAAGCAATTCGATCCACGATCTCGTACGTCACCAGTTTCAGTCTACGATCGGTAGCTTTTTACTGCATTTCAATCTCTCGAACTCTGTTTGTGATTTGAGTATTTTATCAATGTGTTGAAGATTATCTGATATTGATAATTTAATTTGTTGTTTCGTGTAGTGTTGTGTTTCTCTCGGATGAAGATGTTTACGAAGTGTTTAATTATTGTGACATTTGTCCTTTTTCTTTAATTTTTAAATTTAATTAATTAATTAATTATTTATATATATATATATTTTAAATTCTTCTAGTTTTCTCATGTTTAACTAATTTAGTGCCAATTCTTCTAGTTTTCTCATGTTTAACTAATTTAGTGCAAAGTTTGACTGTTTTCAGGAATTTATTTTGGGCATTTCGATTTTCTAGCTATTTTCTTTTTTTGGGTAATTTTTTTTTTTTTTTAAATTTTCTAGCAAATAATACCCATTGTGTCCCCGTAGTCCTTGAACCCTCAACCGTCTACTTTGGAGAGAGTTAGGAGATACCACTAGGCTAGACACTCGATGGTTTTTGAGTACTTTTCTATGCAATCTGTGACTTTTTGTTGTGAAACTGTAGAATTCTTTTCATTTCTCACATTCGATTTGAATTTAATGGTGCAATTTCCATCAATATTACTGAATGTTAAATACGGTGGGTATTGGGATTTTTTTTTTCTGTAACTTGTCTGTTCCTCTGTTTCTCATACTTTCTCTCATTATTTTTGTTGTTCAATTTTTAACGACAATGCTATAGGGTCACAAATTCATAATATCGCGTTTTTTATTTTTTTATTTTTATTATTATTATTTTTTATTATTACATAATAATTTAAAATAATTATCACGTTTTATTGGTTTGGGAAGCCTTATGACATATCTAACAGAATTTGTTTTCTCAGTTTTCTATAATCCAATTAGTGGTCATAATGGTCTTATTTTATTCCAGAAAAATCAAAACTTATCATTTTGGTTTGGGAAGGCTTATCCACCATCATATGCTTCTTAGTTTTCTATTAGCCAATTAGCGGTCATAATGGTCTTATTTTATTCCAGAAAAATCAAAACTTGTCATGTTGGTTTGGGAAGGTTTATCCACCATAATATGCTTCTTAGTTTTCTATTAGCCAATTAGTGGTCATAATGGTCTTATTTTATTCCAGAAAAATCAAAACTTAGCATGTTTAATTGGTTTGGGAAGCCTTATCCACCATAATATGCCTTCTTAGTTTTATACTTTCCATTTTTTTTCCCATTGGCAAGAAACACAATCACACCCACATGTCTTTGTGCGGACTTGAACCCTTACCTTCTACTTTGGAAGGTGAGGAAGTACCACTAGGCTACAGCCTTGGTGTTAGTTTTATATTTTCCAATTAGTTTTATCTTTTCTCAAACATTAGGATGATTTGTTTTATGCTTGGAACTGCCATTGATATGGAGATCCTGCTTACGTACATGTCTCTTTTCTTCAATTTAGAATAACATACCTCTTGGTGATTACTTGAGACATCATGTTTCAACATATTATAGCTGGGATGGCCCTGGATCTGCCCATACTTTGCCCATCTCAAAAACTAGGGAAGCCACAAATGTTGTAAAAGATATTTGGTTTTTGGGCGGGGTTGATCTCAGGCCAGCATGACCTTGGTCCAAAATGTATTTGTTGAAGTATAGCGGTAAGCAGGCTTGATCTAAGGAATATGAATGCAGAACTAGTGAGCTCAATTGAGATTTTTACTTAGGGCTTGAGCTTTAGATAACCTCATTGGTGGACACTCTGTCTCATGTTTGATATAAAAGAGACTTCTTCACATATAATAAATTAGTATATTTTCTCATGGAAAAACATTCATGTTAGTAGACAAGTATGGCTACTGGGTTATTTTATTTCCAGAATTCATTGCTTTGTATATAAAATATGGAATGTTTAACATAGGTTATAAAGATCTTTGGGAAATTGTGTAGAAGTTGTAACTTTTTCAATACCATTGCTGTAGGACTATTTGTACATGTAATTTTAGGCCTATCTAGTATTTCTAATGTTTATGTTATTTTGGTCTTATGTTTTATCTGGTGTATTCTTGGAATTTTCTGTGGTTTTAGTTCATCCTGAATCTTAAAGTTGGAAGAATGCCTATATAAATTTGGGAAAGGACAACTAATCTAATTTGTCTCTTACCGTATTCAAAATGTCCAAATATGAGATAAAATGCTCAAAAAAATTATCATCAACTCACTCGAGTGGTAACTCCTGCCAACTCCAAGGGAGAGGTGCATAAATAAAGTCTTGTTTAGGATACATGTGTATGTCTTATTTTTTTTTTTTAAAAAAAAACGATTACTTGCCTAGTATGGATGTTTACTGAATATCTGAATTTTACTTGTTCAGTTTAATGTTTTAGCTTATTGACTCACAGTTGAGGGCTCACTACCTCACCCCCCCCTACCAATGACAAATCTATTTTCTAAAACCTTCTTTACTAATTTCAGGTTTTGTTGCGTTTCTGCAAAAGTTGGTTGTGTGGTCTTGGTCGAGATTTATCGTCTTTAAGTCCTCTTCGGTATCTTAATTCAGTTATGTCTAGTGATACCCTCACTGGCCTTCCTAATGGCAGTGTCAATGCACATTCTGCTCCACAAAGAACTTACCAAGTTGTTGTAGCTGCGACTCCCAACATGGGTATTGGTAAGGATGGGAAATTACCCTGGAGATTGCCTTCTGAGCTCAAATTTTTTAAGGATGTTACTATGGCTACATCAGATCCTGTGAAAAAGAATGCAGTCGTAATGGGTAGAAAAACATGGGAAAGTATTCCCCTGGAGCATCGGCCTTTATGTGGTCGTCTTAATGTTGTTCTGACTCGTTCTGGGAGTTTTGATATTGCAACTGCAGAGAATGTTGTTATATGTGGGAGTGTTGCTTCTGCCTTGGAATTATTAGCAGCATCTCCTTATTGTCTATCAATTGATAAAGTGTTTGTTATAGGAGGTGCTCAGATTTTAAGGTAAATACACTTTGTTGTTCATTGCCGTATTAAAGGTCTTTCTGTTTCTTCTTGTTTTTGGCTGATTATATATCTACTGCAGGGAAACCCTCAATGCTCCTCAATGTGATGCAATCCACATTACAGAAATTGAGGCAAGTATTGAGTGTGACACTTTTATCCCTGCCGTTGACTCCTCTGTATATCAGCCGTGGTACTCATCCTTCCCTGTAGTGGAAAATGATATCCGCTATTCTTTCACTACTTATGTTCGTGTGAGGAATGCTGCAATTGAACCCCTTGGTCAAACCAATGGTCTGACGTCTGACTGTGTCTCAGATAATGCTAAGTTTGAGGTAATGAAGTTTTCTTTCCTTCCCAAGATGATTTTTGAGAAACATGAGGAACACGCGTATTTGAGATTGGTTCAAGATATAATTACAAATGGCACTTTGAAAGATGACAGGACAGGGACTGGTACCTTATCAGAATTTGGCTGCCAGGTATTGTCAAGCTCACAAGCTCAGACTCCCGTCTTATTTTGCTTCTCAATGGATGCTTCCAGATTATAACATCATAAAATCTTGGGTGAATTTGATGATATATTCTACTTTATCCACAGATGCGGTTCAATTTGCGTAAATCTTTTCCACTTCTAACAACTAAGGTGTGTATTTCTGTATAAAGATTTCTTTTCCAGTTGCAAGTTATGATTGTATTAGTTTCTTCTGTAAGTAGTTCTTTTTGTTTATCACTGAGTTGGATTATAACATGATATGTTTCACTTCGTGGTTTGACTATTTAACTAAAATATTTTCTATAGTTTTCCATATATAGGATGACGTATGTTTGTCATCTCTTCCTGCAGAAAGTATTTTGGCGAGGTGTGGTTGAAGAGCTTCTGTGGTTCATAAGTGGTTCAACAAATGCCAAGGTAACAATATGTTTATTGAAAGTTTTGAACTATTTAGGAGCATGTTGGTTTGGGACATGTTGACAAAGTTGGTCAATTTCCTTGGAAAATTTAAAAATTTTACTTTGTTGCTTGATTGTTTGTATTCTTGACACTGATGTGAGTATTGTTATGCTTCCAGTACTATCCTAGTTTTGAGTGCATTGAGGTTTATACCACCGGACCATTGACCCAGGTGGTATGAGCTTTCCTCCTCAAAGGGAGACAAGCGGTTTAGTCTCACATGGGGCAGTGTGGTGTGTGTGCGTGTGTGTTGATTACCTACCAAGAAAGAAAGAAAGAAAAAAAAGAGTGCATCCGTGTTTACGATGGAAGCTCAAGGAGAAGCCTGAAGAGAAATCTAGAAGCTAAATTTGGAGATTTTTGAACGATTGGTTGGGATTCTCAAGAGGTCCTCTGGCATTCCTCATGGATATTATGTGCACTTTTGTAAACTGAAAGTGTAGCTACAACATAGTCTAAAAAGAGCTGTTGGAAGATTTCAATGCTTCTTGAAACATTAGATAGCTTGTCTTGGAGAATTGGTGGGATTCTTAATTTTTGTTTCCATAGAGGTTTGGAGGCTTTTGAACGAGGCTTCTTCTTGATGATTAAATTATGGTGATGGTATTTAGGTTATGTTAAATAAGTCCTTTCATTGTGGTTGTATCTGGTAACCTATGTTACGTGGACTCTTCAATAGTAGGTAATATACACATGTACGGCACACGTTGCTCGTCTATGGGTATGTGACGTGTCTGACAATTTCGGTTGGACATGCACATAAAAAATTGCTCTCAAAATGAGTGAAATGCATATCTTGAAACGAGTCTTGCTTTGTACGTCTGTAAGGGAAGTTTCTGCAAAGGCATGGATGCCTTCATATAGTTTGCATAATATAACAATAAGTAGGTTTTATGAAATCTCTGTTATAAACGTTAAATTTAATTATAGTTTCTGTGAATCTGTTTTTGTCTGGGAACGATTGAGTACACAAAATTATGGTTCATGCCTTCCAACACTGGAAATGAAACATGGTACAGTTTCGTTTTCAATAAGTTTCCAAATGCTATCTGAGCATTTCTCTTATTCCTTCGCTACCCATTAATTGTTGTGGAAATAGATTGCATTTTGAGTTTGTGTTTTGAGTCTTGACAGGTCTTACAGGAGAAGGGCATTCATATATGGGATGGCAATGCATCCAGAGACTACCTTGATAGGCAAGTAGATGGTTGTTACTTTAACATAATTGGTCAGGCATAACTCAAATTTATGCAATTTTAGTTGATGTAGTTATGTTTTCTATTTCAGTATTGGGTTGGTGGATAGGGAAGAAGGTGACTTAGGACCCGTATATGGGTTCCAGTGGAGGCATTTTGGTGCTAGGTTGGTGGATTTTATTCTCATGCGGTTCCATTTCACATTTAATGAGGGAGTTTAGCGTTGATTTTTACCCATGGGACTTATGATATATAGGTACACAAACATGCATGCTGACTACACTGGCCAAGGATTTGATCAGTTATTAGATGTTATTGACAAGATCAAGAATAATCCAGATGACCGCCGGATTATTCTTTCAGCTTGGAATCCTTCGGATCTCAAATTGATGGCACTTCCACCTTGCCACATGTTTGCGCAGGTTAGTATAAATTACTAAAGTATTTCATCCATGTTTCTTTTATCATTTTCGTCTCTGAATGTACATATCTTTTCTCTTTTCTATTTTTTGCAGTTTTATGTAGCCAATGGGGAGTTATCATGTCAAATGTATCAGCGCTCTGCTGACATGGGCCTGGGTGTGCCATTTAACATTGCATCTTATGCCCTCTTGACTTGCATAATTGCTCATGTTTGTGGTATGCATTTATCACAAAATTACATTTAGTTTTGTGCACATGAATTTGTTAGGAACTGTTGCTTAGTGTTGGAGTTTCTTTTAATATTGTATCATGTTAAAGAAGTTGCATGGATCCACTGAAGAAGACAATATTAATTTCTCCAGCCACATCATTTCATTACCTGTAGATTAGTCTGACTTGGATTTTATTTCTCATGAATTTGTCTTTGATCCCACTTTGCCTTGTATAGATCTTGCTCCAGGTGATTTTGTCCATGTTATTGGAGATGCTCATGTTTATCGCACTCATGTCAGACCTCTTCAGGAGCAGCTCCAGAAGCTGCCTAAACCCTTTCCAGTAAGTTTAATGAATCAATGGGATTTATGTTGAGTTGTTTTCTTTCAATTCGATAAAGATTTGTTGTTGATTTGGAAGTAATATGGTTTCTTTAATATTTTTTTTAATGCAGATTTTAAAGATCAATCCCGAGAGGAAGGATATAGATTCCTTTATCGCAGCTGATTTCAAACTCATTGGTTATGATCCTCACCAGAAAATAGAAATGAAAATGGCGGTGTAGAGTCACGGTCTTATAATATGGTGAAGGAAACTCAGACACCCTGTTCCCTCCTTTTCAAATAATATCTGCTATTAATGGAGGCAAGTATCTACTTTCCTGTCCCTATGAACCCAAGACTTTTTAATCAGTAAAATTCCATCAATGCCTCCTAGATTTAACTGTTTATCATTTTTAGTAATATTTAATGCTCTATGAAAATAATATAGGAGTCGTCCATGATCCATGATATACTTATTTATCATTTTTGTCAAATTATATACTTATTTAGTCTTATTATAATAATAAATTTTATTCTATTTGAAAGTGTGCTAACCATTGCCTGAAGCTTTGATAAATTAGAGTGTGAGCGGTGAATTTGACATGGAGGAGAGCTAGGAGGGGTGATGACTTATGGATATTTTTCTGCTTTTAACTAACTTTTCAGAAATCCGTTAATCATATTTAAATTCCAGTTAGTTATTTGTGAAGATTGATTTTAGATTATAGTATTCACAATTAAGCAATAAACAAGAAATAATTACAATAGAGAAGAGTAGAGACATGTTGTCTTTTATGCAAAAAATCCAAGAAAGGAAAAACGTAGTCAGTCAGGCACGGACGTAGAGACATGATGATGACCACGGGACGTAGTCAGTCAGGCACAATCCACTGTCGATAAAGAGATTAAAACTAAAAGTTAACATTTTACTCATCCTCGAACCTCTAGTTACCTCTAGACACAGATGGCGCCAAACTTTTCTTCGAAAGTCTCTAGGCCATCCGTCTATTGTCCACAACATCATTTCCGCACAAACTTGCTTCTCTAAGTCATTGCTCGCCCAAAGCTGCTCTAATATTTTTTTGTTTTTTGAATTGAATCAGATTGATGATCCTCTCTTGATGAATATTCAGTCACACATAGAATAGTCTATGGAAAACCTAGATTGAATAAATCAGTAATTTTTCTTTCTTATGAACTTTTTCCCTCTATGGATGATTGGAGATACTCTAATATACATAGACTGACTATAACTTCATATTTATAACCAATATAGAGTCTCATACATTTTAGGTAGTTAAATTCTTGTAAAATTGTATTTGAGAGTTACCAAAAATACATTTCTGACATGTTTGATCGAAATCAATTGATCCACGCTTTGATTGATGCATTTTGGTCTCAAAAGAAATTCTGCCCGCAACATCTAGATCGATCGACAACTACATTTTGCCAATCTGAATGAATTACATTTAAACCATAAGTTTTGAAAATCCATTGTTCAAAATCACAATCAAAACATAATTGTGGGGCTAAGGTCAATTTACTTGTGACCTAGATGCGACTTAGAATGTGACTATTCCGTCATGATATCACACTTCATGTCAGAGATGCCTTCAATAGATGTCTACGAATGACTCACGACATTTTGACTCCTTGCAGCACATGTTTTGGGTATAAATTTGCCAACATATGACTCATATACCTAACACTATTAAATATATATTCAGAAATTTATATATAATTTGAAACTTTAATATATATAGTTTAGTCTCTTAATATGTAACTGAAATATATTACAAGATCTAAACATTTATTACATATTGTAACTAAATATATGTAATTTATCTACATATTACATATTGTTTCATTTACCTATATATATATATATATATATAAATTACAGTATTTGAGACTTAAACTTTATCTCTCACCGTCAACACTACCGTCTCCTCCCATTGCCGCCACCCACTTGGTTCTCTTTCATCGCTATTTCATCATCTCTCTTTAGATCATAGTATTTAAGACAGAAAATCTATGTTTTTCAAAGAGATGTAAATTTATATGAATGAATACACACGTCTTCCTTGGCCCTGGTGCCTCATGAAGCATCAGGTCTGAAATTCGAATCCTCTCGGGTGCAAACAATTCCTTTAGGAGGGCGTGTGAGTACCAACTAGGGAAAAAAAAATACACCTCTCTTCCTTTCTAGTTCCTCCTAATGTCCTAACTCCTTCAATAGCTAAGACTCTGATGCTGCTGCATTCACCCCTCCATCACCACTATACTCAACACACACACACGCAAACACACAGACAAACTCTCTCTCTCTCTCTCTCTCTCAATCAATGAACTATCAGTTTGTTCCTTGCAAAATCCCTTACAACCCAAAAACAAAACTCAGCAAATCCCCATGGCCACCACCATCGTCCACCACTACTAATTCCTCTGCAAATTCTTTCTTCGCTGAACCCTAGCATCAAAAACCAACATTGGTTTGTCAAAAATGTGACTTATCAAAAAAATAAAAATAAAAAATGTGACTTAGCATTCTACCATGAGTACTCTGATATGGTTCTCCACCATCAACACCAAAGTTTCAACAAAAGTCGTCTCCTAACAAAGTTTCCAATCTAAGTCTAACTACAGTAATGTACAAAATTGTCCTTGTTGATCGGCTTAATCTAATCTCCTATGCATAAATGTGTATATATATATTTTTTCCCGAATTGGTTAATTTCATAATGTGTATATTCATATGTGTCCATATATGGACAAACAATTGTATATAGTTTATTTGTATAAACTCTATATAGTGAGAGAAATTGAGAGAATTTAGTGGAGGGATAACTCGTCTCTCTGCTTCTGTTTACCTCCTCTGTCTTTAGCCAAAGGGATTCATATTTTCCCTCATCTTAGTCAAAACTCCAATTTTGTGTGCGAGTGTGTGGCGGGATTGTGGAGAGGAGTGGCTGGGGCATTTCAATGTGGAGGTGGGGGGCGGGGGGGTGGCCCTTGTGATGGTGAAGAGGATGAATAAAGAGTCTACAAGGGGTAAATTGGTCATTTCATCTTGTATTAATTAAATAGCAATCAATTAAAATTGATATAATGAACAAGAGTGTTTTCATAGATGAATAATTAATGTTTGGAATGTTAATGGTTCCTAACTCTGACATGGGTTTCAAGTGATTTTCACAAAACTTTAGAGTGATGGTGATTTTGCCAAAACTCAATGGGTGTCCAAGTAATTTACCCATTTATACAACATTATTTTTCCCTTTTTTTTATTTTTTTATCCATATTTGTCTCGCCATCAATTGATGCCCTTGAAGAATTTGATTTTATCAAAACCTGATTGGATGGTAAAAAATGTGGAAACTAGTTACCTCTATTCTCATTTTGCTTTTGTTTTACCTTTTATTGTATATGTTATGTGATATTTAAGAAATTGGAGTAGTTTTGCTCCTCTTAACACATGCGCTAAGGCAATAGGAAAAACTTAAAATTTCTTTATATATATGCTTTTGTTTAACATAAATATATAAATATATTGTGTATGACCCCAAACTGTGAGAAAAATTTCCTTGCGCCATTTGCACCGTGCAACGGGCACATTTGGACCGTTCGTGTAATACATGTGTAATAATAAACGGTTGAATGTGCCCATTGCACGGTGCAATGGACACAAGAAATTTTTTGTCCCAAACTGTGTAGCACCCGAACTGAACACTATTTTGTTGACTGAATGTTCTCATGAGGATGTATTAAGATCTGTAACAGATGATGTGTAATGCAGAGAATACTTGGGAATTACTTTAAGAATGTTGTCGCCTAATTGTGATAAAATTTTATTTTTGGTTGCCTGATATACATCCAAAATTTAATGTAGAATTAATTCTGTGAAATTCTTTGATTGTGATGCAGGCAAAAAGTACTGGATGTTTATGTTGTCAAAGGATTGTGTATGGAGTTAAAAGAACTACTAAGTGGATGGGATATACATAAATGATTACATATGTAGGAACTGAGAATCCCTTGGTTCCACCCTCTAATAAATGGTGGTTTCTAAGGTGATTTAGGGTACATTTTTCTTTTTCACATTTTCGAGGTTTGGTTTTTCACTGTTATATGAATTCAAACTAACAAATGCTATATCGCTATATATTTGCTGTACTGTGGGATGAATTTTTATCTTCTTTATATTCCAGCCTAGGTTTTGTGGATTTGAATCATTTGATTGGAAATTTGCTGAACTATTTGTTAATCAAGGTTAATTCTGGGGAGGTTTGGTACCATGAAACGGGTTTTAAATTCAGATGTCGGGTTTGGGTCGTTGCAAACTGCTTTCTGGGCTTGGTAAGGAGGGCCGAAAGGCCCATTCTTGGTTGTTCAAAATCTAAAATTGCAAAAAAATCCCTTCAGGTAAAAAAAAATTGCAGCTCATTTCTTTTCCCCACAACTTACGGAACTTCCATTCTCATTGCTCCGTGTGTGTGTGTGAACTTTCAAGTACATGAGAAAGCGTTTAAGTCTTTTTCAACTAGACTAACCCCATAGGTTAGACAACTTTTCCCAAGTCGGATGGTTGTAGTGGTTGTACCACCATTGGTGAAGAAAAGTAGACATTGCTTAGTGTTTAAGAACTTATCTAGAACCAGACTCCAAACTTGAAATTGATAGCCTAAAAAAACTGTGGAATTGACTTTGACTTTTACTATGATAATATCCTTCAGGCAAGACCACACCTAGAAGGTTCTTATATTGCCCATCAATTACATTAATTATGTGCATTCCTCGTCAAGTGCCTTATTATTATTATTTTTTTCTCGGAAGGTAACCTCGTCAAGTCTTGCCATTGCCATATAAATGGAGCACTTTCTTCTTTCCTTCAATAATTCAATTACATTTGAAGAAAAATAATTGTAGGAGTGCTTGATTTCTTGACCTAAGGAGCCTCAAGTGTCTTAAAAGACAACTTTTCCAATGTGGGTGGGATACATTGGGAAAAATTAACTCCCTCCAACTCACTCAACGTCAGTCGTTGTTGGGAGTTAAATCTCTCTTTTATCACACATAGTGAAAGCATATCACATCATATCAACACAAACATATATGGAGATAATAACCGTTCATAATTACACATAACACAATATTTTATATGATTCACCCAACTCTAGGGTTACATCCATGGAGAAAGAGAATTCTACTATTATGAATCAAGGAATAGAATATACAACCACATGTCAAGACCCTACTCACAATACTCACCCTTAAACCCTTTATATATTTTCTCTCTTCTCTCTCTCTACTCAAACTCATCTCTATTTATAGTCTTCAAAATTCAATTTCTTGTTGGACAAGTATTCCCCAACTTGCCTACAAGGAATTGCCATATTAGTCTTTAATTCTAAAATAGTAGGTATAACTTCTTCCCCAAATCTTCAACCTTTTCCCCAAGTCATCTGGTTTTCAAAACTGATTAGGAAACTGTTTCTCGTATCTTCCCAATAACTCACTACCTAAGTGGAACCGGTTCCGTCCCATGGAACCGCACTTTGGCAGCAACCAAAACCAACAAATTGCACGCCACAGATGAAACCGGTTCCACTGTGGCAAGTAGCCAAAGGAAAACACCGAAATCTACAAATTTGAACCTCCCAAATATTCCACGCAATCAATACGTGATCAAAATATGTCTTCACGTGCTCCACTATCAACACGTGATCAGAATATGTTTTCACGTGCTCCATCTCGAATAAGGATTTTCCCTCTTCAAATAAAGCACTATGATGAAATTGAAAAACACTGTAACATATAGTTATAGTAGTCAAATTAATAAATAAAAAAAGTAGACATTGCTAGTGCCTCGTTCTCTTTCTCCTAATATGAGTAAGAGAACGAGACATTTTGTTCCATTTCAGCGTACCTAACCTAGTTTAAGGATTTTAAAATTTCTATGATTTTTTTAGTCAATCTATCATAATAGATTCCATCAGTGAAGAATTTTAGTAGTGCTTGATTTCTTGAACCAAGGAGCCTCAAGTGTCCTAAAGCCTCAATAGTTGTAGGAGTTGTACTAAGACATTGCTTAGTGTTTGAACCAGAATTCAAACTTGAAATTGATAGCTTAATTCCATAAACCTTCCACTTAGTAAGCTTTCAAAATTCGTTTTTGAAAAATACGACGACTTTATACATCTAAATTCTAAAGTTAATTATTTATTTATTTTTTATTCTTTTACAGTGACTCCACTATAACCCAAATGTACCTTCTAATAAGTTGATTTGAAACCATTTTAAGGGCCAACAATTATTTGGCTAACGTAAACAAGAGATTGTGAGAAGTAGCATTATCACCATATACAAAAAAGAATTATATAAGGATTTCAAAATTTCTATTGTTCCTTTAGTCAATCCCTCATAAGTGATTCCACCTTACCTGATTTTGTAAGGAACAAGTTTATCAACTTTAAAATGAAATGGACACTAGTATAGATAGTACAAGTTCTCTTCTTAGAAGGAATGTTTGAGTGTTCGGTGGAGCAAAATATAGTGGATGCGGGTATGTAGGTGCAAGAATTTTCCAAACTGGACTTCTGATGCAATTTGAGGAATTATACACCGGAACACTTAAAATAAAACAAATTCCAAAATAATAACCGTAACAAGACTGAAGCAAGCTTTAACAGAAGAGATATTTTATTTATATGTTTATATAGAAATTTTCTTGGGGCCGTTATTAGAAGTTTTGTACGTGGGCAATCGTGGCCCTTATTTTATGCGATCTCCATTTTTGACAGCCGTTATGGAGTATTTGAATGAGCTTGGGCTGGACTCTATTTCTTTTTCTCAGGTAGGCTTGAAGCTTTGGTGTCCTCTTCGATGGGCTCTCGACTGAATTGGGCTTCTGAGCTGGTCATTCCCATGTTGGGCCTCTACATTATCACTGTATGAGCAAAATATCCTTCAAAGCAAAATAATTAGGTAAAAGTGAAGATAAAAAACAATCCAAACTTTCACTGTATGACCAAAATATCCTCCCGAGCTTCTAAAGTGAGCAAGTTCCAAAAGTAAGTAACTCACTCCCTTGACAGTCGGCCAAAGTCTAGGTACAATTACCAATTTACCCTGAATAATTAAATTTTGTTTTTTAAAAAAGTCAAAAACCTCAACTATGCAAAACGAGATTTTATTGGTCATTTTATGGTATTTTTAATTTAATGCAACAGAGACCAACAAATCAAAGGTAAATTCAGTAAATATTAAATATACATATGTCCAAGAAATTTTACCATGTCAACATCACGAAGTGGGAAAAGTTGAACATAAAAACTGTATATAAATCAATCATGGGGTTGGAATCCTCAGAGCACATCCCTGAGTGATCACAACTTTCACATTTTCTTCTCTCTGTTTTTTTTTCCCCTATAAATTTCAAGGAAAGTGAGTTCAAGATTTTGGAACTTAACTCCATCTCTCAAAGGTAGGTAGACTTTAAACATAGGTTTAAATATATATTTGTTCTTAAATGCTCCTCGCCCACTAGCTTCTTAATTTATTTTTGAGAATTTAATAATATTTTGCATTTACTTTGCAGAAATGTGAGCTACTTCAAGTTCTCTAAACTGAAATGGAGCTTTCAAACTTGGGCTTATGCATGTCAAGGTCACTTTTCAATATTTATATCTACCTTATAGTAACATGTTGCTTGTTCTTGATGCATGCAAGCTTTGTTACTACTACAGCCACCTCCAGGCTGGGAGGGAACGAGACGGACCGACTTGCATTGTTAGCATTCAAGGCTAAAATAACCAACGACCCTCTCCAGGTAATGAGTTTGTGGAATGGTTCAATTCACTTCTGCCACTGGCACGGTGTTACATGTGGTCGCCGACACAGAAGGGTCACCATCTTAGACCTAGAGTCACAGAAATTGTTTGGATCCATATCGCCGCACATTGGGAATCTCAGTTTTCTGAGAGTACTAAATCTCCCGAACAATAGCTTCGAAAAAGAAATCCCTCCCCAACTTGGCCGTCTACGCAGATTGCAACTTTTAGGGCTACACAATAACTCAATAAGTGGCAACATTCCCGCCAATTTATCTGCTTGCTCTAACCTCGTTGGTTTCATTCTTAATTATAACAAACTCGTAGGGCCGATTCCGACCGAGCTTGGCTACTTGTCAAAGCTCAAGTTTATTTATATGAACTTTAACAATCTAATCGGAAACATTCCTCGTTCTTTTATGAACTTGTCGTCTCTCGAGGAACTCTATGCGTTCGGGAATAATTTTAGTGGCGGTGTTCCTGATGCTCTTGGCCAACTAACAAACCTAACAGCCATTTCACTAGGTGCCAATATGTTATCTGGTAACATCCCTCCCTCAATTTTCAATCTCTCTTCTCTCACAGCTCTTGACATCAGCTACAATAACCAAATCACCGGAAGCCTTCCTCGGGACATAGGAATCACTCTTCCTAAGCTGCAGATCCTCAGCCTCGGGAGCAACAATTTTACCGGATCCATTCCTATTTCGATATCCAATTTATCGGAACTGGAAATTTTTCAAGTCAATGAAAACAATCTCGTAGGAAAAGTGCCTACGATGGAAGGGCTACGTAAGATTAAGTATGTAAATATTATTGCCAATCATCTAGGAAGTGGGGGAGTTGATGATGACTTGAGATTTTTGTACTCTTTGAGTAATGCCACCAATTTAATTGTGTTAGCAGCGGACAGTAATAACTTTGGAGGAATGCTTTCCCAATCTGTTGGCAACTTCTCAAAAAAGCTTAATATCTTTGGTGTAGCTTATAATTCTATATCTGGAAGCATCCCTGTAGGGTTTGAGAATCTCATCAACTTGGGTTGGTTAAATATGTGGGGCAACCAGTTCACGGGTAATATTCCAATTGAGATCGGAAAGCTTCAGAAACTGAGTATATTGAATTTAGATTCAAACAATTTATCGGGAAACATTCCATCCTCACTAGGAAATTTGAGTGTTTTAACTCAATTGCTTTTGGGATACAATGAACTTCAGGGAAGCATCCCCTTAAGTATTGTAAACTGCCAACATTTGTTAGTTATGGCCCTCTCAAATAACAATCTCAGTGGTACCATACCCCCACAAGTTTTCACTCTCTCTTCATTATCAATCATTCTTGATCTGTCTCGAAACCATTTCACTGGTTCTCTTCCCATAGAAGTCGGAAACTTGAAAAATCTAGGAGAATTGGATGTCAGTGATAACTTGTTGTCTGGTGAAATTCCGAGCAGTATTGGAAGTTGTGTAAGGTTGGAGAATTTGTTCATGGAGGGTAACTCCTTTCATGGGAGCATCCCATCATCTCTCAGCTCTCTTAGAGGTATTCAAGTTCTCGATGTTTCACATAACAATTTGTCAGGCACAATTCCGGAGTTTTTTGAGGGCTTTCGACTCTTGCAGAAGTTGAATCTATCTTATAATGATTTCGAGGGAGTGGTGCCAATAAATGGTGTTTTTGCAAATGCAACTGCAACTTCAGTCTTGGGAAACAACAAGCTCTGTGGAGGTATACCTAAGTTACATCTCCCTAGATGTAACTTTAGAGAGCCCACAAAGAAGGGATCAACTCATGCCCTAATATTAGTAATCCCAATAGTTTTGGGGATTCTAGGGCTAATATTGGTGTTGTGTTTTCTAGTTTTTTGTTGGTTTAAAAGGAATAAAGAAAGAACTTCTTTATTCAATTCAGGAAGATTGGTTCTGGAAGTATCCTACCAAAGTCTATTTAGAGCTACCAATGGGTTCAGTGAATCTAATTTGATAGGGGCGGGAAGTTTTGGTTCTGTATACGAAGGAATTCTTGATGAGTATGGAAAAAAGATTGCTGTGAAGGTGTTTAACCTTTTGCACCAAGGAGCTTCCAGGAGTTTCATCGCGGAGTGTGAGGCTTTGAGGAACATCAGGCATCGAAATCTTGTCAAGGTACTCAGTGCATGTTCGAGCATTGATTACCAAAATAATGATTTCAAGGCTCTTGTTTATGAGTTCATGGTGAATGGGAGTCTGGATGAGTGGTTGCATCGAGTTCCAGGAGAATATGAGGAGCAGGATGAACCAAACGAGTTAAGTCTTCTTCAGAGATTAAATATTGCCATCGACATTGCTTGTGCACTGGATTATCTCCACCATCATTGTCAAACTCCGATAGTTCACTGCGATTTGAAGCCAAGCAATGTTCTTTTGGACGACGACATGACTGCACATGTAGGTGACTTTGGCTTAGCAAGATTTCTTCTTGAAGTTGACAATAAACACAGTGGAAATCAAACCAGTTCTATTGGAATCAAAGGATCTATTGGCTACATGCCACCAGGTAATTATGCTTCCTTTTTCTATTTCTTTTTTCTTTACTCTGATTTATTCACATTTATAATTTCTTTCAAATGGAAAATTATGTAGCAAAAATACCGAGTGCAAGTTATGTAAATACACACAGTTGTCAGGTTTTGTTCATCAGGCACGAGTATTAGAGGAACATAACAACAGATGAATCAATCAATCAATAAATAAATCCATTATTCTTTGTGCTTTCTTTAATTTTTGTCAAGCTTTAAGACAAGTTTTTATAGTCTTGAGCCTGAAAAAGTATATTTTGGATTGACTTTTAAAAAATTTAGATTTTCTTTCTTCTCATTTTTTGGCTAACAATAAAATTGTTTTATACTCTACATTGGTTTGCCTGAAGCGCAGAGTATGGTATGGGAAGTGAGTTATCAACATCTGGCGATGTGTACAGTTATGGCATCCTCTTGTTGGAGATGTTTACACGAAAACGGCCAACTGATGAAATGTTTAGTGATGGTATGAATCTTCATAACTATGCTGAGATGGCTTGGCCAGATCGAGTAGCTGAAATTATAGATCCAGTAGTTCTCCTACAAGGAGAGGACGGGGAGACAAGCACAAGCATCATAAATACTCGCCATCAAAGCCATTTTAGCAGTTACAAGATTCAGGATTGCTTGACTTCGCTATTTAGAATTGGAATTGCATGTTCTGCAGAATCTCCACCTGAAAGATTGGATATCGGTGTCGTTGTAACTAAGTTGCATGTCATCAGGGACAATCTTCTTAAAACAGATGGAGGAAAACGAATAACAATTGCTGTTTAATCACAAGTAGGTATGAACTCATCACTTTCTAACCAAACTAATAACCAAACTAATTTTCTGCATGCATCTCTTTGGTATGGTAATTGGTAACCACAACACCCCTAATAACCAACTTTAATTTGCTAAGTGTTCACATGCTTCTTACCTTAGTTGTCATTCTACTTATTCATTTTTTTTCTTTGGAGGACTATTATACTCGGGAATGTGTGTTGAGTACGAGTATGTATTCACACGTCGGACGTGTCAAATCTTTAATAGAAGTACACATTGACACAGCTAAATATTCATTTTATTTAATATTTTTATTTTATTCATTAAAGTAAAATGTTATATGTAATATAGTGACCAGAATAGACTTATTCACTCATTTGAAGTAATAATATAATAAAATGAAATTATTAGATATATTTTTTAGGTGCGTGTCTAATTTAAATATGCCAGAAATATATCTCATACGTATATCCAAATAATATATATCGGAGACGGATACTTCACGTCTTTACCTAGTTTGAAAGGGTCCATGTAACATAGCAATTATAATCTCTATATCAATGTGTTAGTTTTTGTTTCTTTAATTGATCTTAAGTCACAAATATCATAACAATTATTGTGAAAACATCAGATTCCTTGTGTACATCAGATCACTTTTTTTTAATGTAAAGTTGAAGTTTTCAAAATCTAATTGATTTCCTTGTATTACAGGTGCATGAGGTTGACGACAATTCTAAGAAAATGACAGTAATTTGTTGTAGTTTGTTTATCAGTTTCCTTTGCTTCACGTATTTGATTTTTTTTTTTTTTTTTTTTTTTTCATGTATTCTGTTTTTGACTATCCTTAGTCCGAGCTCTTCCCCTCAAGGAAGGCATTCTGTTGAAGCCATTGTGTAATAAGCTGTTTGGTTTAATAACTTTTATGTAAGAGAGAAAAACCAAGTGTATTAATGCAGTGGTTGCTAGTATCTATGTATGAGAAATAAAACTGTGTACTACGAGGCGATTGTTGGGAGGTTTTTCCAATCTATATAAGAGTAATCCTATAAAATTTTACGCATATTTCTTAGATGGTATATCAAATATATATTAGATATCTATGTGTGTGTTTATATATAATACGTGGGTGATTAAAGTTTTGGTAGGCCTACCTCTTAAACAGTTTTATGTTTCCAAAGTACTGTTTTCATAATTTTTGTGTTGGCAGTCAAAACAGGTTAACCGAGTTGTAATTTTATGTTTACTTTGAGTCTCGATTTTGAAAACTGAATGATAAGTTATTAACATAAGTTCAACATCTATCAATCGGATTTGAACATCATTTCTTCTAAATGAGTGTGAGAGTACACTTGATTTTCAATAGGTTTTTGGATGTTCTCAAGAGTCGAAATATGTTTTGAAAATCTTGGAACATGAGTTGAGTGGTCATGAAACAATACCAACATGGGGTGTTGTGGTAAATCAATTTTTATGATAATAATATCTCACTTTATATTCTGAGCTTCGAAATGATCCTTATCTAGTCATAAAGTAGACTCAATAATCTTTCAAATTATATATTATCTACTTAATTTCGAGTTCGTTTGACCCCTCAAAAAAGTTCGAAAAGTTGGGTCTTTTGCGGAGCTTTGGAAAAATTTCAATCACTTTTTACTACTCTTGTAGTTTAGAAAAGGAATGATAATGGGTTTGGTTTAGAAGATGGAGGAAGACAAATCTGTCTCCGGCGGTGGAGGAAGACGGTGAAGGGAGATGACGAATCAGTTGGAAGATGCCGATGGGTTGGAAGAGAGCAGAGATGGGTTTGGCTTAGAAAAGGGATGTTGAATAGGTTTTTTTGTTATAATTTTTTTTTAATCGTATTCCATATGGGAATGGAATGTCTATTCCATTGGTAAAGAGAAGGAATGATTATGGTGGAATGACTATTCTTCAAGAATGGTAGAGAATGATGATTCCACCTTTAATAGCCCACACCAAACATAAGAATGGAAAGAAAAGCATTCCATTCCTTCTGATTTGATTCCATTCACCCACACCAAACATGGCCTTAGAGTTCAACCGGTTCCCTTGTGTGAATGTTTTGGAAACCAGTTTTCCTTATTCTTATCTCAGAATGCTCGAACCGGAATTTTCTGCCTACAAACACTTAATAAAAAACCCAGAGACTTTAAGAAAAATATCACCAGAGAGGAGGCTTAACTCTTGAGCCCTTTTTAACTAAAAAAAAATCAAAAAAAACTCTTAAGCCCTTCTTTATAGAGTACAAAACCCTAGAGGAGTCCGTGTAGGACTCCATTCTTTCTATACAAGTTTTAGTTGGACAGGATTAACCACTAAGCCTAGTGGAGTTCATGTCTTGCTTCGGGCCTTAGCGTTTCTTTGGTCCTTTGTGCTGTTTGATTAATGTGATCGGGCCAGATCTAACCAACGGCCTTGGCCCATTACTTTCTGAGGCCCATCTGATGGGGAATTTTCCCTCTATAAGAGTGTTTGCTAAGCATTCTTCCAGCAACTGGACGTGGAGTCGCAAGAGTCAGATTGAGGCATTCAACAAATAGTTCCCCGCAGGATGCAGTGGTTGTGAGACTCAGACAGGGTTTGTATAATTTTGGTTCAAGATGCTGGATTTTTCGTCCAAGATGGTTATTCTCTATGATTTTTCTTTTTCACTAAGGTTTTTTTACCTTAAAAAAATATTAATGTCATCTCTTACTCTACTCTATTTTTTTGCACTACTTTTATTCGGTAAATTAAAATAATTCAAAATATAATCAAAAGAGCAAGCTATACATATTCATCCTTATAGGAGTCTTTGGAACCGCGCAACTTACTAAAGCCACTATAAGAATTGTGAGCATAAACACAATTTGGCAGTAAAAAGTTATAACTTACAAGCAAAACCAACCAGGCCACCAATAAAGAACAGAGCACTAAAACATTAGCAACTTAGAATTTGTTCATGTAATTCTTTTTGTTTTTTAAATTTCAATGGTAAACAAAATGAAAAATCAACATTCAGTCACCAAAAGAACAATTCAGGTGGACACAATAGAGTTTTATCAATACTGACCCTATATAGCTTTCCTTTGGCAATAACTGCACAGGGACATTTGCTTCTAAGCAAAAGAGTAGGATTTGATAGAATCAAATCTTCCAATTCATTGAATAAACAACAGAATCATCTTCAGCATACCAATCTCTTTTTGACAAAATGGTGTGGAGATGTTTTAAATAGGACAAATAATTTTGTGTGTGTATGTGTGAGAGTGAGAGAGATCTAATAAATTATATGGCATATAAATGAGGTTGTTCTACATAAAACCCAGATATTACCCATCTCTTTCCTCCCCAAAGGACAGATCGAGTGTTCAAACTGTGAAGGATAATATTGTTAGCGTGTCTACGCTTGCTTGAACTTTCGAAACAAAAAAGAAAAAAAAAAAAAAAGAAGAGAAAAAAAGAAAAAATACAAACTCTTCTTCCAAACTGCTGCAACAATTTACTTGATCTCAAGTGTTTCTTGAATCTTCTCACCGTCCTCTTTTTCACACCCACATTTTCCCTCAAGCTCTGCCATATCTTTTGCTCCAGATGCTCCTGATTCTACTTCACTAGCTTTGGTTTCTTCACTTTTCTTCTTCTCCTCGAGGAACTCAACAAGGCCTCTTAGCGCAATGTCAGCCTCCTCGGTTTTCATCAACTGTTCTCCAACTTCAGCCGGAGTCACCTTGCTCATCTCTATCAATTCTTCAATCTCCAAGAAGAGTGCGTGCTCTGTAACTCCAAGGTAATTGGAGGCGAGCATTTTGAATCCGCATGGGGTGCAATAGGACATGTGAATGTGCACATCCATACGACCGGGGCGCAACAAAGCAGGGTCAAGGCGATCTTTGTGATTCGTTGTGAACACTATAATCCGCTCATCCCCACAGCTTGACCACAATCCATCAATGAAATTCAGCAATCCTGAAAGGGTAACCTACAGGTGACAAAACACATATCAGTAGATTGTGAATGATGGCTTTTCTTTCAAAGAAAAACTAGAATGTAGATTCTCAAAAATTGGGTTGGATTCATCTGGCAATGTTTTTCATAGTCTAAGCACAATGTTAATCTTGAAAAGTCTTCCTTCAAATGGGTTCAATAAGATTGTTTAGCTTGAGAATTTCTTCTTCAAAATCATTTCCACAAAAACACACACACACAAATAAAGTAATATGATGCTCTCATTCTTCAAAGGTGAAAGAGCAAACAACTAAAATTTTCCAATATAACTCTTACTTCACCACATCTAAAGTTGAAACTTAGTGTGATCCAATTTCGGCCTTCAATACATTGCAACTATAAATTGGAGATGCAGCGGAAAAGAGGAATGGTACAGAAAAACTGTATGAGCTACAGTTCTTAAAGGCTTGTAAGCACAGCACTCATGAGCCTAGGTGTGGTTCTCCCCTTGTGGTGCATCTCAAAATTAGTGAACCCACAGCATGGCAAGGGCTCTATAATTAAAATTGAAATACAAAAGTAACTTGAAAATTTTGATATCCCATTACTTATCAAAAAAAAAAAATGATATCCCGTTATGTATATCTGATTTGGAAGACAGATGGGTGCCCATTTTGTTTACTGATTGATCTCAGTCATAATTAAGGAGCAACCAGAGGGAGGAGACAATGGAGGTTTACAGTCCCTCTTTCTCGAGTCCCATGTGTTCTCCGGAATTCCTAAATCATTTCAAACTTATCAAAATCCAATTCCATCATACTGGAGATTGATACTGGGATGTTTGTAATGTTTTCAATTTTTGTCATTTTTCATTTTCTGGAATTTTTTTTTTGGCAAGGGCATTTTCGTCTTTTCACGTTTATCGTGCCGGACACCATGGGGTGTGCCGGGTGTGTTAGGGAGTTGGTTTGGGCATTCCATTGAGTTTAGGACTCTTGAAAATGTAACAGTTACCATTTTGGCATTTTTCCATTTTTCGGGCCAAACGGTCCTGTGTGGAACCCGCTACTAGAATTGTTGCGTACGGGAATGTCGGTTGGTTCTATTTGCATTTTATTTATTTTATTTAATATGTTATATGTGGTTATATGTGGTTAATGTAGAATGGTGTGCATATATATGTGTGTGTGTGTGTTGGAAAAAGAAAAGAAAAGTCAAAATTTGAATTTTTGGTGGTGGGACCCACTTTCCACTAAATTGTATTTGTGGCCAAGAAACTGTTTTGGTCTCATTCTTTCTCTGTCCCCGGCTATCTCCTCCTCTCTCTCTTTTCTTTTGCTTTTTCTCTTCTTTTTCCTTCAATCTTCAATCTTTGATTACTCCTTAACCGTTAGGAGTTTTTCGGTGGCGTTTACGGCAAATCGAAGAGCTCAGCGAGATCTTTAAGTTGATGTAAACAATTTCAACTTTTGGCCACCCTAAGAATTTCGAATTTGGGCATTCAATTTGGGGTTTTTCATTATTTTGGAGGTCGGGGTTCTAATCCACAACTTCTTGCACTTTTGTGAATTTTTCTATGTGATTTGTTGTATAGCATGCTAAACTGTGTTGATTTTTCTTCAAGATGCTTAAATTGTTGTAAATGAAGTTTGTGATTATGTGTGTAGTTAATATTTGTGTAAATTAGCATATTTAATTGGTGATATTCCTTGCCTATTATGTTTAGAACCAAAATTATGACATAAAAGCATGATATTTCCTTGGGATTTTCTTGTAGATTATGCTATGTGATTGAGCTTAAATTAGATATATGTTAATGGGTATTGGCATGACATGGAAAGGCATAATGTATTCATGCATGACATTGGGCAAGGAATTGGGAAAGTTGATTTGAAATGAATGAAAAAAGGGATTTTGGGAAGAAGTTTCGATAAAAAGGTTTTCTGAAAACCCGAACGCCAAGGGGGTACCGAGGTCCATGGTGTTAACGTAACCTAGAGGGAACTAAGGAGATCGCCCTAGCGTGGTTGAGCTATCTGGCCCCAAATGACGCCGCGGGGTTACCAAGAGTCAGGGACAGTAGCCAATCCTTCTTTCGTGTCGCCAAGGGGTCACCGAGGGACGGGTTATATTAACGGTTTGGAAAGTGAAGAAAAGGAAGTGATTTTGAAAACGGGAAGCGACATAGCATGACATAGCATTCCATAGCATCACATTGTTTATCTTGGTTTTGTAACTTGTTGTATTTTCTCCTGGCATAGCATGACCCCGTTCCCTATTATTTTATTCATTGTTTGAATTCACGGGGTTACAAGAGGTGTCTTAGGCACCACCTACTGAGCAATTTGCTCACCCCTTTATATTTAACATTTTTCAGGTCACGGGAAGGAGGTGGCGAATGACAATCCACCACAGACATAAAAGGATTTAGAGTGTATTTGAGAGCATTTTGTAAACTTGAACTTATTTTTGTAAAATACCATGACATGTGATGTATTAAAATTGTTTCGCATGGTTTTGTAGTAGAACTTTGAGTATGACTCTATTTTGATGTAACATGGACCCTTTGTAATGACTATGTATCAAATTCATGTAAATGAAGCACCTAATGTCGTAATGTGATCCATTGATGATGCTTTTATACATAAACGTTGTATAATTCATTTCATGATGCTTGGGGGCAGATTTTAGATCATTTTCCAAGTACCTAATACCATTAACCTTCATTCTACAAAGTGTAGCAAGTTCAGTGACTGAAATACAGCTCTCAGAGTCATTTCGGTTGACCGAAATGGCACTTCAGTCAACCGACTTTTTGCATGCTCTCGGGATCCCTCATTTTGGCAAACCGGAAGGGTGGTTCGGTCGACGGGTTCAGGTGGACTCACTTCGGTCAACCGAACTGTTCTGCCTTGTCCCATTTTGTTCCTTTCTCTGGCAGAATTCATTCTATGTTGTGGGAAGTTGCTTAGAATCTTTGTGAAGCATGATTATAACTTAGGAATTATGTAATGACACTGGAATTGATGTGGATGGACGTAGATGACCTCGGGTTCGGGTAAGGACCCGGTTAACGGTTCGGGCCTACGGGTTCGGGTCGTTACAATGTTCTTTACTATTGTTTCTTCAAAATAATTTCCACAAAAACACACACACATAGACACGCAAATAACGTAATATGATGCTCTCATTGTTCAAAGTTGAAAGAGCAAACAACAAAAATTTTCCAATAGAAATCTTACTGCACTGACTTCTAAGTTTAAACTTATCTGAAATTGAAACTTAGTGTGATCCAATTTTGGTCTGAATACATTTCACCTATAAATTGGAGATGTAGATGAGAAGAAGAATGGTACACCAATAACTGTATGAGCTACAGTTCTTAAAAGACTTGTAAACACAACAATCACATTGGGCATGAATGAAGCCTTGTCAGTTGTCATGACTCATGAGACTAGGTCTGGTTATCCCCTTGTGGTGCATCTCAAAATTAGTGAACCCACAGCGTACTATACTTGAATCAAAATGCAAAACTAACTTAATATCCCATTATGCCTGTCTGATTTGGAAGACAGATGAATTCCCAACTTTGATTACTGGATCGATATCGGTCATAATTAAGAAGCAACAAGAGGGAGGAGACAATGGAGTTTTATATTCGCTCTTTCTTGAGTCCCATGTGTTTTCCGCAATTCCTAAATCTTTTTTTTTTTTCCTAGTTGGTACTCACACACCCATGCCTCCATGGAGGCTCGAACCCCGACCTCCCTTTTGGAAAGTAGAGGTCTAGTACCGCTGGCCACTTGTCCGTCGGTCCGTAATTCCTAAATCATTTCAAACTTATCAAAATCCAATTCCATCAGAGTGGAGATTGATACTAGGATTTTCTTTACTGTTGCAAGGTTCTATAACTTGTACTATAGGCTTGAACCTTCCCCACCTTAATATAAAAATTTAATCCCAAATTAGTTGGTACTAAATGTTTTTGCTTTCCACTAACTTGCAAATTAGATTTTGTGAAATTAACTCTTTTTTAGGGTTCTATCAAGGATTGAATAAAAGGCACTTGAGGGTATGTTTGCTCTTCAGCCTACTAAAAAATTTATGTTTCTTCACAAAAACTTGAAGGTGTCTACAATCCATATAACCAATATCAACCTCTTAAATATCAAAATATGTGCTCAATCCAAAGTTATTGTCCAATTTGCAAACCATATGAAGATAAGTAGTTGTCAAGAGTTATAGACCAAACTCAAAAGCAAGAATTGAAAGAAAAAATGGAATAAAGAAGAACAAACGAACTTACCCCAGACCCTTGATTACGTTGATAAGGATTCATAGGCCTAGCTGCTGCTGCTGCTGCTGCTGCTAGCCTGTCTTGAAACTCAATGGAGCAATCAATGTCCTCCACCACCAGTATCGAGCGGTTGGCAGTCGAAATCAGCAGCTTCCTCAGCTGAGAATTGCTCCTAATCTCAGTCAGCTCCAAGTCATAGACATCAAAATGAAGGTAATTCGCCATTGCCGCGATCAAGCTAGACTTCCCGGTCCCCGGTGGCCCAAACAACAAGTACCCTCTCTTCCATGCTTTCCCAACCTTCCTATAATGCTCCTTCCTCTTCACAAACCTCTCAAGATCCCCAATTATAGTCGTCTTGATCTCCGAATCCATAGCCAAAGTATCGAACGTCGATGGATGATCAAGATTCACTGATTGCCAGGGGTTCCCTCTGCTCCCTCCTCTCATCCTGTCACGCTCCAGAGTGAACAGTTTGAGTGTTTTGATCTCCTCTTTCGCCTTTTTTGATTCCTCCAAGATGTAAGGCATGTAGTCCTCAAGAACCCTGTTCTTGTGCTTCTTGTGGAAGCTCAATTCGAAGTACCGGAGCTCGGTTCGCGGGATGGGATTGTGTCGTCCATCTGAGTCGGAAATGTACTTGGATTGAACTTGTTTGCTGACCATTTTCCATTTCAATTGAAACCCATTGAATGTGTCTGTGAGCTCGTGGTTTCGCTCCATGGAAACGTTGATTTTGTTTTCTTTTTCGGGTTTGGTGACTCGGAAGCGTTTGGTGGAGGGGGTGATGATGGTGCCCAGGTAGAGCTCGGAGGCTCTAAAGAGTTGGTTGGAGTTGAGGCCATCGAATTCGTCGATGACAATGGTGAGTTGGTTTGAGAATGTGGTGAGGAAGTGGCGGAATTTGATGAGCAGAAAGTGTTGGAATTCATACGGGAGGAAGTCTCTGGCGACGGAGCGGACCACCACCGCCGTGGCGGAGATGGAGGCTGCCGCCGAGATCACGGATTTTGCGGAGGGCATTTGGATGTTTGCCAACATGGGTTTGGTTTAGATTGAACGATTCTTTGTGGGATTTTTGATAATTGGGGTTTAGGGTTTTTTGATGATTGCGAAAGAGAACAAGTTCTGGTTCTGGTCTTGGTTTGATTACTGAAAATAGTGTTTTGGGGTTTGATCTTTGTTCGTGTCTCTCACTCAGATCAAATGAATTGGTTACGCAAAGAAAGTATGGATTTGAAGATCAAATGAAATGGATTGTGAAGGAAAAAACTGGAATTGAGGCGTGACGTGAAAATGGGGTTTGTTGGGTTCTGGTTTCATTTTCTTTATCAAAGTCTTTGGTTTCTCGTAGTGTGGAGAACGGAAAGACTCTGTGAGTAGAGTAAAGGTCTAGCAATGGAGTCTTTGGCTCTTACATTCTTGTTTGTCATTTCATTGTAATTTCTCTTGACTTGGATTGGTCAGAAGTCATTTCAGCTTCGAATATATTACTCCATTATATATGCGGGTTGAATTGTGAAATGAACTAATGAAGGTGCCTACGGTGTCTCTCTGGGGAGCGGGACAGTCTACCTCAAAACCAACACCAAATCTATCCGGTCATTAATGAAACACCTTGCGAATGAACTTCCATATTTTCTTTCCAAACAATTTTTTACCAAAATATGACTATCAGATCATCAAAACCGGAAACAAAAAAAACACCCAAATTATTTATAATTTTATTCTTTTGGTAATAGTTTACCAAAACAATAAAATTATAAAGTCAATTAAAACGATGGGTTTTGTGCCTTTGTATAATTTCTTACCTTTGTATATTTTATTCTCTTGGTAATAGTTTTATTTATAATTTTATGTTATTTTAATATTTTTCTTATTTTCAGGCCCTTAATTATAAAATCAATTAAAACGATGGATTTTGTGCTTTAAAGATGGTATCCAAGAGATTGGTGGAAGATCACAAGTCATGAAAATCCAAGTTCAATTAGATTTGGAGAAGAGTCCAAAAGAAGTCACAAGCGGATGAGAATGGAAACAAGAAGAAAAGGAAGTATACTTCTCCAATTAGGAAATTCTTTCTTTATTCAGAAACTGGACCTATTTTTGTATTCTGGCTGTATTTCCTTCTGTGAGTGTCAAAATGGCTCAAATTTTACATGATTGAAAGGAAATTCAAAGCTAAACAACTTTGTATTTCACAGACATTTTGTGAAAAGGAAGTTTATTATATCAAAACAGGGCTGTAAGACAACACAAATTTTGGAGTCTGAGTTTGGCCGATTTCCTATTTCCTATTCGATCTGTTTTGGAGTGGTTTCAAGGACTATAAAAATAGGGTTTTCTTCACAACTAGAAGGAGAGATGATGGGAATTGATAGTCTAGTTTAGAGACTTTCTTCAGTGTTAGAGAGGAGTTTTCAAAGACAAGATCAAGCAAGAGAAGATGAAGATGAAGGTTTCCACATCCATGAAGTGTTGTACCTTCTTCATGAGTGGCTAAACTCTTTCTAAGAGATTGATGTAACCATAATCTTAACTCCAATGATTTAGTTATTTATTTTATTGGGATTATTTATTGTATGATGATTGCATGATTAAGGGCAAAACAATGGTAGTACCTTGATCTTGGGATTTAATGCTTAAATTCAATTGTATTTGATATCTTACCTTGTCTTAGGAAGAATGGTTTATAATTAATCTCAACCTCTCTATTTCTATGATTATAGGGTAGGTTTATCATGCAATGGTGCTTAATGATCATATGTTTAGGGGTTTAATAAGCGGGGAAGATGGGTCGTACTACACCCTTAGTTTAATGTAGTTAGGTAGATGATTCGGGGAAGATGGGTCGTACTACACCCTTAGTTTAATGTAGTTAGGTAGATGATCCATACTAACTAAAGATGGGTTATGCTTGGCCCTAGACATATGAGTTTTTCTTTATAAATTATGGTATGTGCTTGTCGCCATACATCTTTTGATCATACAAAATATCCTAATAATATGTCTAATTGACCATTAGAGGGCGGATTAGTGGTGAAGTCAATACCTTAGACTCTCTATCTCTTGATCTCTCCAATTACGTAGTTTAAGTTAGATTTAATAATTAGTTAAACTAAAATTTAAAACTTCTCTTTCGAATTAAATTAGAAATAATTATAATATCTTGATAGCATAACTAATACAGTTCTTGAGGTTCGACACCCTCAATATAGCCCTATCCTGCAAGGATTCGTATTATTGCGAGTGGTTCATCATTGAAGAAAACACACATCACAGCACTCCACCCCCATTTATGGTGGTTCTTAACTTGACCACAACCAATAACTGCATAAAGGCAAGTAATATTTATATGTGTTAATCCTCCTTCACCCATGGGCTCTCGCTGCCAACCAATCCCATCATCACTCTATCAGAGAATCTTTCTTTGACGCACTTAAATGAAGCCAGTATGGAACTCGCTTGCTGGCAGTGGCTGCGCATGGAGGGCCAGAACCGCTATTGTCTCGTTCTCAATGCTTCATCCGAACTACTCCCTTTGATCCCTTCCCTTTTCTCTCAATTTGACTCCGTTATAAAGCTCATTCTCTGATGCAACTCCATCAGCTTAGACGACCATGCTCTGATTTTGATCTCCCTGATCCAATGTCCTAACCTTATGTGCCTTAAGCTTCGTAGCTGTCGCGAATTCACCGATTCTGGGAATTGTCACTTTTGCGACAAACTCCTAGTGTTTGAAGAAATTATCATATGGGTCTACCATGTTTGTGGCCAAAGGTTGAAAGGTATGAAAGCACTACTTGATCACAGCTCATTTGAAGCAGTTCTATATCAAGGGGTGCCCTATATCTGATAAAGGGATTGAGGCATTTGCTTGGGGTTGCCCGAATTTGGTGAAAATTAAGGTTAAGGAAATGTAAGGGAGTGACTAGTAAGGTTCCAAAAACCATGCAGGAAAAATATGTAGGTGGTTTCCATTGGTACAAGGCTTTGATAGTGATGTAAGTGCTATCATCAAGCTTAAGCTTGAAAGAATCAATAAGATCCTGAGAGGAGCTAACCTCAATGCAGATTCTAGCATAAGAAATTCTTGTTTTGGATTCAGTATTTGCAAAGAGGGGAATGCCAATAGCACTAGCAATGCTACCTAACCCTTTGTTGTTCCAATACTCTAAGGACACATTGTAAAATTTAACCCATAGAGGAATGGTGGTGCAAGGTTTGGCAACAAACTGCATATTTAAATGCCATTGATTGAGTATGATAGGTCTATTTGAGAAGGTCCAAGGATCCTTATCAAGAACAAACTTGTAATCAGATTCACTTTTGAATTTGAAGATGAAGAAACTTGATTCATTTACAATGGTGTCAAGCCTTAGATGACCAAAGTTTTTTGGTAATTTTGTACACCATACTATATGAGAGCTTTTTTTTTGGAGGAAATAACCAATAAGAGTGGCTTTCCACTCCAAGAGGTCTTCAGCTTTAGCACAAGGTAGAGGCTCAACACAGATTTCCCCATTCAAGGATGAAGGCTTGAGAAATTCAAAGGTCATTTTTGGATATTTTGGAGCTACAACCTCGCACGAGGTAGATGATAGTGAGGTACTATGTGCAAACACATGCATTAATGAAGCACATGGGGGGTGAGTCAGAGGTGTGGTGTGGTTAAGGGGTATTTCTATATTAGGTCCAGGTGGTAGCTGAGAGATAGGTGAATCCCTACCAATCGGGGCCATTGCATTTCATATATCATTATTTGATGCATAATTATGTGGCTATGTGGTTAATTGAGTGATTGTATCATGTGTATAGATGTATAGTGGGAGACAAAAAGGATTTTTTTTTGGACATATGGACCCTGCATGTATATGCCATTGACTTAAGAGGGCAGAACCTCATTTTCTTCTTCATTTTTCCCTTCTCCTTCAGCCGCATCTTTCTTCTCTCTCTTTATCTTTTCTTTATCTTTTTCTCTTTCAAATTCAAGGCTTGATTTCCTCAGTTTCCACTTGGATTTTGACTTTGCCACTGAAGGTAAAGTTAACGAGCACGACGAGAGTTTCAAATTGATCGGAGCCAATCTTCAATTGGAGCACCTTGGGATTTTTGAAATTGGGCTAAATTTGAGGCTTTTGCTAATTATTTAAGGTAGGGGTTTCTAACACACATATTCTTTGATTTCGGTGAATTAATTTCCCAGAAATTGGCCCTAGTATGTTTAATTTGCATAAACTTGTTTATAGTTATTTGGGGTTTATATGTATCAAATGTGATAGTTGTATTTTATGTGATAATTGAGTTGATATTTATGCCTACTTGAAATGTCATGAAAGAGCATGCTATATTTAAATTGTCATATCCCTAAAATGTTTATGTGCTTTGAATGTGAGGTTGATTATGTGAAATTTAATGTGCTAAATTATTTCCAAAGCATACTAGTAAGACATGGTTAAAATATGTGGAATTGTATACTTGACATGGCATTGAAAGGCATGAAGCATTCATGCATGACATTGGGCAGGAAAAATGAAATTTGATTTGAAAAGAAAAGAAATTTGATTTTGGAAAGATTTTAAAAAGTGGTTTGCGAAAACCCTAGCGCCTATGAATTGCCTAGTGGTCTGTAGCGTTAATGTGACCTAGTGGGAACTAGGGAGAGACCCTAGCGTGGTTGAGCTACCTATACCCCAAATGATGCCTTGGAGTTACCATGTGGTCAGGGATAGTTAGCCAGCCCTTCTCTCGTGGCGCTATGGAGCTGCAATGGGCCGGGTTGCATTAACGGTTTGGAATGGAAAAACGGATAAGTTTTGGAAAAGGGGAGCGACATTGGCATATCATTATTTCCTATTGGCATGGCATGGCTTATATATATGGTTTAGTTAATCTTGTTGTTGTTGTAGTATTTCCTCCCAAAATAGTATGATCCAGTTCCCTTGTGCTCTATGCTTTGTTTGGATTTACGGGGTCATCAAGAGGTGTGTTTTAGGCATCTCCTACTAAGTCACTGTGCTCACGCCTTCATTACTATTTTCAAGTCATGGGATGGATGTGGTGGATGACACTCCTCGACAAGTTTAGATGGATTGGATGGAACTTTGACTTTTTTAATACTTGATTTCATGTAAGATCACACGGCCATGTTTATTTGTATCCGAAATTTTTTTTTTTTTTTTTTTACTCTAATTGATGTATTCACTATGATTTGACATTAAAAACAACAATAATACCCTTAGATGACCTCGGGTTCCAGTAAGGACCCAGATAGCGATTCGGACCCCTGGGTTATCTGGGATATCGGAGACGCTATTTTGCTTGCCAGGCTTTGGACTCGTGATTGATGTTGTTGATAGTAGTGTTTTGAGACATTGGAGTTCTGGATTTTGTTGTGTTAAGGATTTGAGGCCTTAAGCCTAGTGGTGCCTATGACATTGTTGTCAGAGTTTAGGATTGGCCGGGATGGTCTAGAACATCTTTGGACCATATTCCAACTTTCACAGATGCCTGGTTCCCACATTGCTTTTGACCATG